ATTCAAACAAAACATTATCATAAGTGCTTGAGGAATTGCCCCAAATAGGAGTAAACAATATTTGTGATTTCGAAATATAACGACTATGTTTTTCTTCCTGAAATAAGAGTAGTTATTGTCATGATTGAAAAATATTGTCATTAACTATAATAAATACTGCTATGTTGAATGTATAGGACTGCAATTATTTGACAATCATGACTATAAGATAATAATATATACTACCATGTTATTCATATTTCACGATAGAAACATAGAAGTTCTATTTTGAAATTCTAAAAAATAGTACTCAGATTTTGAAAAATCTTCTTAAGTGCTTACGTCATCTATACTATCATGTCATTTAAAATTTTGAATCTTAATGTTGTAGCCTACTAAAGTACTACTACCTTCATCGCAAATTGATTTGTAAAGTCATTTTCTTTCAAATAGTTTCATTTATTCACTTAAATATGATATTAATTTTTCATTATATTTTTATTTGGATTTTGCAACTTTATAGATATTTTAATGTAATTCCGGAATATGTAAATTTTAATTATTAAAATTGAATTAGTTATCGATAGGGAGGATTTAATTTTAACATTAGTTGCTAAAAATGTTTACTATACAAATCAATCTGTGTAAGTGTCAATAAAATTAAGAAATTTTATATGTCTTGTGTGTATACTCTTATTTTTTTGAAGGTAACTTGTCTAAAAAACGTAAAAAATCATAAATGGTTCATATATACAGATAAGGTGAACAAAAATTGTACAAATAATTACACTAAAAATTGTTCATAAAATTAAGTGCGCCCACAACCTATAATGGACCTCTACAACAAAATTAATCATTTACGAAATTAACTTTTGACCACCAAGTGTCTTTGAAATCTTCAACATCATATCACATTTTTCAAATAACTCACTCATATTCTAAATTAAAATCGTGTTAGGTACTACTAAGTACTAAGCTTATATCGGGTGTTAACGAAGATAAGTAGTAGAGAATGGTGTAGTTGAGAATTGTGTAAGGGAGAGAAAAATAAGTAGAATCACAAAATATTTATTTTGAAGGAAAATTGATAATTTTTTTTAAGATAAATAAAAAACGAAAAATTGATAAATTCAATGGAACGGAATGAGTAAGTTTTTAATATTTTATTCTTTTAATATGACTAAATAAGTCCTTGTGAATAGAACTCTGATCCCTTTTTGAAATTTTCTCCGGTTTCATTTCTAGTTTGAACAAATTCTTAGATGGAATTCAAATGACATTAAAGTAGTACTCCAAACTACAAAACTGATTTCGAAGACCATTTTAGGTTCTTTTGCAGTGGAAGACTTGCATAAGAGTCACGAAATGATCGCTCGGTATTACAAGTAAAAAAAATGAATAAAAATTATTGAGCTTGATCAATAAATACCCAAATTGAAAGTACAATCATATACAACACAGCGAATGGTCACCCCTCGGAAGCAAAATGACTCACTAAAGATTTTTAGACGATGCATGTGTCTCATCCTTCATAACGTTATTGGCAAAACTTATTTGATTTGTCCAACCACCAAAAAGGAGCAAACAAAATCCAAAGTTTGATCAACTAGTGAGAAGAATTTAACAAAACCACTGGTTTTACAAGCCACAAGGGTCGAAAATGACAAGTAACCAGCCAAAAGCTTTGTTTATATATATACAGAATATAGATGACATGCTTATTGGATAAATTATGAATTTTATAAAACATTTTGAGTGAAAAGTTATGATGACTGAATAGGGGATTTGCCGATACAAAAAGGGATGTGGTCCAGGTGGAATAACACAAAAAGGGGTGTGGAGTAACATTTTCATTGTTAAGCCGCATAATAAAGAATCATAAAAAGTCATTTAAAAGGTTTAAAAGATATTTCCTCGACTTTTTAAGTTTGTTGAATAAAAAACTAAGATCAACTTACATTCCCTTCATTGCTGTCCCAAGCGTATGAGACATGCATTCCACGTGTGCCCAGTGCCCATATGGATCAAGTTTTAAAATAGGTGAGAAGGACCTTAATAAAGATAAAATTTTGAGAAGTGCATACCAATATTTCTTGTAGTCTGTTAGTAAATTAAATCCATCCTAAATTAAGCCCTCATTTGATCAGAAATGGAGGTTAAAAGGGTGAAATTGTGAAAACAGTATGGTTGAAATGTGATTAGCAAGAAATAAGGAATAACATTATCTTTTTCTTAAGAGGAAACGAGTGAAAACAGTGACACGGATCAAAAGAAAATTGTGCGACTAAAAAAACATAAGGAAGCAGCGTATTGTCAAACTAGAAATGAAAATAGGCACACATGGACAGATAAGGATTGATGTCATTACTTTCAATTCTTTTGATTGAAAAAAACAGGCAAAAGAAAAAACATTTGCAATTGAACTTTAGTAGCGCATGAGCACTTGACTAGATATGCATGGGAGAAAGAAAGCACCGGAGATGACAAAATTGTGAGTCCTCAAAATATGATAAGCAGAGATGTTTTAACAAGGGATTATGTTGCATCACCGCATTAAAAAGACCTAGTGTGGTAATAACGCTCCCAATGAAAGGTTTGAATCCAAACAAACAAACATTAGTTGTGCACTTTGAAGCACTTCAGGTTAGGAAACATCTTGAGAAGTTGATCCCAGGTTCGGTTCTAGAATATGTTTGCAAAGCAAGTATTAGTCGAAGGGACAAACATCGTCATTCTACAATTTGATCTTTGGGTTTCACTTTGTGTTTTTACCTTTATGCCAATACAACCATTCACATCCAACGTTGTTAGTGTTTTTGAACAGGAGCTTGAGAGTGCCTCCAGGGATTTGTCAGTCACCCCAACTATTCCAAATAAACTGCAGAAGTTGGAGAATAAAAAGTTAATGTGACAGATGTAGCAACAACCTTTCCACCTGTTCACTAAAAACATTAAAGCAAGTAGTGGTTATCCCTCCCTATGAATTGGCCAGTAAGTAAACATGAAGAAACAAGTTTACAGAATATGACAAAATTCTTTGTTTAACAGTAAGCCATGTGCTGTCAAGAAACAATATCCATGAAATGACGCACTCCCTCCGTTCTCAAATACTCCCCGCCCATTAAGGACAATTTGCTGTTTTTAAGGTGACAGATTTTTTCATAAATTTACAACAGAAATTGACCTAAATAGGAGTAAAAATCTTTTGAAATTCTAAAATAGGACTTTCATCTTTTTATTCCCTAAATAGGAGTAATTATGCCAAGTTTGGAACAAAATGCCATGTTTAAAGTCTAGTAATATCAAACTTGGCAGAAATTTACTCTTATTCAGGAAATAAAAACATGATAGTCTTATTTTGGAATTTCAAAACTGTTTTAATCCTATTTAGGGAATTCTCTCAATTTACAAATAAGCCATATTGATAATAGGTATTAAAAAAGTATCAAGCCAATTTGAAATGTATGTGAGGGAAACATGATCAATTTACAAAGTTTCACTTTATTTCAATTCAGCACATTAGTTCAAAATATTAGTGTTTGGTAAAGTATTTGGCTGATAATGCTCATAGCCTCATATGCAAAGAAACAAGGTTACCAAGTACACACATCTTCAAGGACATGGAAGTATGAAATAAATAATAATAATAATAATAATAATAAGATTATCTAAATATCATAGTCCAAATCCAGGCCAACAGTAGCCATTGTATCACTATAGCTTATTCTCCAGTCATCCCTCAACAAGTATTTTCCACTAGAGGATATATTAAACTTGTTTAATGTGTGCTGATATCCATAGTTGTCATGGCACATGGAAATCGCCATGGCTCAAAGGCATTTTTCATGGCGCATGGCGATGGCGCATATGGCGTTATGGCGACGACCACTTTTTCATGGCGATGGCGCATATGGCTACTATGCTGATATCTAATGTTTAGCTCCATTTGGTAAATGAGCTTACACACCCTTTTACTTATTGCCTGAATATTTCCATTTCAGGTTCACAGTGACCATTTTGTGGATTTTTTTGCTCCTGAGTTAGACAAGCATAGTTTTTTTTGACAAAAAAAAAACTATGAAGCAATTTTTAAAGGCAAAACTGCTGAGGTTTGTTAGGAGTCAATGGAGTCATTTTCTCTTGAAAAAAATGTTGAGCATTGGAGATTGCTGCTTCTATAAACTGTACAATTGTTGATGCTGCAGGCATTTAATGGAGATGTTAATACAATTGATGGATGTGCTACACTTTTCCGACGAGATAGATTTTCTCATGTTAAGCAATATATGAGGTAAGACGGAGCTAGTCTTCTGCTGAAGTCTATCTAAATCATGTAATCATCATCATCGCCATCTGTGGTGTAGGTTGAGTTTAATAAAGCTGCACAATCATTGGCTGATGCATTAGCTTCCAGTGCTCAAAAGAAAGCCGCACTCAATCGCTTGGTGAAGGTGCTTGTTTAATATGTTTTGATGTTAATTTGGTTATTTTTTAATCAAAAAATTTCTTTAGTATTACCAAGTACCCATAGTACAAAAATGTTAATTTGTAACTTTAGGAAAAAAATGTTACCGAATGGCAATGACTGATTATCAAAGCAATTATGGCTGTATCGGCAACAGTTCAAGTGAAATAGACGTCAAAAATAACAAATTAACATGGAAAAATTATGGCTGACATCTAGATTCATGGAAAAACACATTTACACATTATTTGATCCAGAAAAAATTTCGAGGTTTTCTATTGAGCCACAACCTCAATTTTTTTTTTATTCAGCCCTTGTACTTTTTGAATTAATCACATGCCCCACTAAATCCCTTATGGGCGTTTGGTTTTAATCAGTTGAGTCATGCGTCTATATTACTCTATATCTATCAACTGCTTCGGTTTAATGTGGGGGAGAAAGACCAAAATGGACACTAAGGTTATTTAAAAAGCTCAAAATGGACACTAACCTTTTTAATAGATCAAATAAACCCATAATTCTACTTTTTAGGGTCATTCTGGACACCATCTAACGGAAGGGATTAAAAACTTGTTCCCCGTTAGTAATCGAGGAACTCTAATGTTGCCCCATCCAAGAACCCCATTATTATCCTCATCATTTGCTCAAAATTAAACAGGGTGGGATTCGCGTTTCCGAAGCGGGGCATTGAGCGGATCGTCCTTCTCTTCAGGATGGGGGCGGAAATCGAAGCAGGGTTCTCGTTTTTTCGGCAACCAGTCCTGGGAGTGGCAAAGGGGCGACCATATCTCTGTTCCAGGCAACCATGTTCGGAGGTTTCCAGCTGCGTCGAACAAGGGCCGCTTTGCCCCGGTGAATTCAGACTCGAATGTACTACTCCAACAGGCTGTAATTTGTTCTCTTCTATTCAAATTGAAAGCAAAACTTTTAGTTTTAGTGTTGAATTTCATTATCCTTGCCAACCTAGGTATTGCAAATGCAGAATGAGAAATGGAATGCCTGTGAAAGCACCACTTTGGACTTCATGGACTGATAAAAATCGAGGGAGACGTTTCTACGGATGTCCCAATTATGAGGTATATATCTAATTTTAGAAAAACAGTTTTATTTATGTTTATAATTTAAATATCTCATATAATATGCAGAGTGATAGCTGTGGTTTGTTTGAATGGCATGATGAGCCATTAACTGGTAGGGCAAAAGTTGTTATTAATGAGCTCAAATTGGAAAATAAACAGCTACGTCTAAGATTTGGAAACTGGAGCATGACATAGGTGGAAGGGGATTTGATACTAATGAGCTTCAAGGATCAAATAGTTTCAACACAGCTAAGCATATGGCATTGGAAAGGGAAAGAAATCAAATGAGGAATTGTTTAATTGTTGTATTGTCTTGTATTTTCATTGGAGTATTGTGTGTACTTTTTAGTTAGTTTGTATTTCTAGGTTGTGTGTAAAGTTAGGTTGTAAGTTTCAAGTGGAATCTCTGTAAAACCTTTAACTGGTTTGGTAAGCTTCTACTAAGCTTCTACCTGTTTTATCTTTAATATAACTATGAGTTGGTATGTTGGTTTGTCTCATTCAAATATACTCTGAATTTAACTGTTTGGAACATGTTTAACTTATTAAAACCGGTCATGCAGTTTTCAGAAGCACATCTTGGCTATTTATAAGGTGTTCAAATGATTTTTTTGAAGTGGTTATCATGCAAAATGATTATGGAGTATAATTTACCCAAGATTGCAAAAGCTGACCCTAGTTATCATTTTTTTTTTATCTTAAATGGTGTTTGGAGGTTTTGATTCAAAACTAAAAACAGAACCTAGCTTAGTGATTTATCCAAAGTGTATCCAATTATTTGTTTATGTAATAGACCTTCAAAGTAAAAAAAATGGCAGATTTCCTGCTGTGGTATGATAACAGAACAATAACTAAAATAATTACACCCAATTCTAACTAAAAATGGCAGATTTCCTGTTTTGACTTTCTGTATTTGAATAATAAGACCAGTCAAGTATTCAAGCATGGTTATTATAATAGGAGAAGTATGGTAACAAAACACTAAATACAATAACAGTTTGGAACATGGATTTGAAACATAGGATTAGTCAAAACCTGCACATAAACTCATTGAACAATAAATAACAGTAGTTATAAAATGCAGTAAACTCTTGTTTATTGTCCTACCAATAAACACTAGTTAAAATATGCACATGAAACACACTACACTCTTGTTTATTAATCTTGGAATAAACTCTACTACACATATTCATAACAGTTAAAATGGCTGCACATGAAACACATAAAGCTCATAAAAAGGCTGCACAAGTATAAAAACCAGCAAACTGATAATGCTGTGCCAAAATAGCAAGGTTCAAAATGAAAAATGATTCATCACTAGTATAAAAGGCTGAAAACTAAACATGCTGCAAACATAGGCTTGATATAACATCTGGATTACTATTAAAAAGTGTAAAATACACTTTAGTTCCATGCGTCCTAGTTTCAAAAAGTGTAAAAAATGTTCACTACAAAAGAACACCGCTACCAAGTTTCAAAGTTATACACTGTATCTACATCTCCATTAACCTACTCTAACTTTGGTTTTCGAACCCACCTACCACTGTGATTAAATTTCAAATTGACAAAGAAACTCATCCTGTGCAAAAAAAAGCAAGAAATAAATAATACTAGTATTACATATGATGGAAGTAATAGAATAATATTCCACTTGAATGGAAAATACGAGATCCATCAAATACGAGAAAATCTTGTAAGAGACAACAAATAACATTCAAGTGATAGGGATAATCTTCTTCTCGCTAGTTAGACATAAGCTTCTTCTTCTTCTTTACAGAATAATTTTACTAGGCAAGAAGATTAATTACCTTCCCAGTAGCTTCACAATGCTCTTTTAAGCCGCAATACTAAGACATCTTCTCATCTCCCTTGTATATCTACGGACTTGAAATTTGTACTCCTTGGTCTGCTTATCGACTTCTTTGCTCCAGTTGGAAATTATGGCGGAAGGAATGCGAATAATAGGGTTAAGACTTTTTAGTTGTTTGTTTTCTTAAAACTAACGGGCTGCAGCTTTTAACTCCGTTAACTTAGCAGGTGTCCAATAATGACCCCAAAAGTAGAATTATGGGTTTATTTGATCTATTAAAAAGGTTAGTGTCCATTTTGAGTTCTTTAAATAATCTTGGTGTCCATTTTGGTCTTTCTCCCTTTAATGTGGTGCTTATTTTCAAGTTCAAAATTTCAGTAATCATTTTGTCATGAACAAGTCATTTAATGATTGTTTGTGTTAGAAAGAATAGTTCACTGCTTTTGACAAGATCTTTTTGTGCTTTAGGTTTTATTGCCAGAAATATGTTTAAAGAAGGTATACAAGGGCTTGTCATGATAGTTCAGAAATTAAAAAGGCTTTTCACAGTGATATATCTGAAATTTACAAGGGCTAAACTAAACAAAATTGGATAAAGTTTGTGTGATTTTAAATCATTCTTACTTTATTCTCACTTTATCTATTCAATATTAACCACATAAACTCAGTTTTCTAAATAAGCACACCACCTCCTCATATGTTAGTGGGGTGGAGGTAGTAGTTTAGAGATTATAGGGGCCAAATGATGTGTTTTCTCTAGTTTTATCAATTTTCTATACAAAAGTCACGATTGAAAATAGTTGTTCTGGGAGAATTTTCTCCCCCCTCATCTGATTCACAGTGTTCTTCCCGTTATAAATCAGGCAAACACTCATGTGCATGTTCAACAAGAGTTGAAAGATGTCAAGCTTTGGCAGGTCATATATATCTATCCCGTTCTATCCCTCCCATCTTTTCATGACACTTTTCGTTGAAAACTGATCGTGTTTGGTCTTTATGCATCAGGTTCATACACTTATTAAAGGTCTGGAAAAGATTGCGGCCAGTGCAGATATTCCAATGTTGGTGTGTGGTGATTTTAATTCAGTGCCTGGAAGGTCTGTGTCGTCTTTGATTCATAATAAAAATTATTTAACTTCTAAAAGCTTAAAGCTCAGTGTAATTGGCTGTGATAATAGGCTACTGTAATAATTATGGTAATAATGAAGAAATGTATGTGGGTCCAATGCAGTGCCACTCACTCCCTCCTTGCAGCTGGGAAAGTTGATCCAATGCATCCAGATCTACACATTGACCCTCTTGGTATTCTGCGCCCAATTACCAAGTTAACACATCACCTGCCATTGGTATAATTTTATTTAATATGTTTATAAATTTCCAACTAGAAGGGGAGCCTTGGCGCACCGGTTACGGTGTTTCTGTGGGACTGAGAGGGCACGGGTTCAAATGTTTGGAGCGGCCTCTTGTCAAAACAAAATGGGAAGGCCTGCTCTTTGTACACACTTGTGCTGGTACCCTTCCCCGAACCCTCGCCTTGCGGGGACGCCAATGTGCATTGGGCTTCCCTTTTATAAAATTCCAACTAGTTCTGCCCTTTTGCCCTTTATAAAATCAAGTGAAGAGGAAATAAGTTTGATATTGGCTTATTTGGAATTTTGTTAATTTATTGTGGCATGCTTCAATACAGGTAAGTGCTTATTCTGCCATTGGTAGGCTAGGGGTAGGCCTTGGGTTTGAGCAACAGAAAAGACGAATTGACCCTACTACGAATGAACCCTTATTTACAAATTGCACTAGGGACTTCATTGGTACCCATGATTACATTTTCTACTCTGGTAATTTTTTGGAGCAATACTCAACTGTCATTTTTTCTAATTTAGCTTTTCAGACAATTAATGTCAAATGTAGTACACATTTCTTTTCTTCATTTTGCACTGCTTATCTATGTCTTAGTGCTGACTTCGCTTTGTTACTAATTGTTTTTTTTTTAATTTAGCGGACTCTTTAACAATTGAATCGTTATTGGAGCTTTTGGACGAGGAGGGTCTTGGGCGGGTCGAATTTTTTGGGCATCGGCCCGGTGCCCGATGCCCGGCCCGGACCGCCACTGTGTGGTACCGGACCAGCCCATTTGACCGGGACCGGCCCTGGGCCGGACTGGGAGGGTTTGGGGGCGGGTCACAAGCTTAAGGCTTCTTGGAACTGGCTCGCCCGATACGGTCCCAAAAAGGTTTTTTTTTTTCCAAAAGGATTGGGGGTAGGTGGGTTGGGCTGAGTGGTTTGGGGGTGGGCGGGGGGGGCGGGGGGGGTAGGAACAAACAAGGAAAAAAAATACACCTGACCCGGACCGGTAAAGGGCCAAATGCCCAAAAAATTCGACCCGCCCAAGACCCGTCCCGGTCCTGACCCGGGCCCGGTCCACTCCTAGTCTAAGACTCTAAGGTTGCGAAGGAAGCGAGCTTGAGATTATTATTCGCATTCATATTGATTATAGTCAGGGGCGTAGCTAGGGGTGGGCCAGACCTGGCCCTGGCCCAGCCCAAATTTTGAAAATGTCTTTATTTTTAGTGTAAAAAATTTCGTGTAAATTTTTTTTCAAAAATATTCTTTGTACCGGCCCAGTCTGGCCCAGTGTCCTGGCTCCGCCCCTGATTATAGTGAATGAATATATGCATTTGTTTAATAGTCAAATTTTATTTTCCATTTGTATTTGATTGTTACGTTTTAGTTATTCAACTTTGATTTGAATATTTGACATAAAAAGATTTCGAGTCAAATTTGTTTAAGTAATTGAAATCATAATGCATGATATGTATTTTCCATCCATTTTGAAACAAATATTTCAAAATTAAAACATGATATTGAAATATAATTTATGAACGACGATGTAACTAAAGAATTGTAAGTATATCATCAGTGTAAAATTTAACACAATCATGTCTACTATAGTCAATATTATTATTATTATCCTTAAATTATAAAAATTATATTTTTGTCCATGACCTGGACCTTATATGTAATCGAGACATACCGTTCCCTATCATTACTACAAGAAAACAAGCATATAACATTGATTTTCTATTAGACTCTAAGTGGGGCAATGAAGTTCTTCCAAACCCTGGCTAATGTAATACGTTAACCGTTAACCATCTAGAGAATTATAGACTGCAAAACACAATCAATGTTTTATATTACAAGCACTCAAGTGATTATATGTCAGATGTCACTTTTTAATTTTATTCCAAAACTACATCAAGTTTTTTAAACGCTACTTCATAATTTTCTCAATTTGCTTTTATGATTTGTATGTCCTATTTACGAAAAGGTTTGTAATTTCTACCAGGGTAAATTTGAAAAGGTGGTCGCAATCAATTTTCTTATTATCAGTGCAAGAATCGTCAAGTGAAACATACTATAAAAAGGGGAGGGTTACCTTCTTTGGATTATTATTGCAATCTCATTCTGAATTGACTAACCAAAGCCAAAACAATAACTTGGGCATAACCAACATTATTATCACGGTAATTAGCCTCACGCTCAAAATGGATTGGTTTGTGTTTGTCTCTGTTTGGCTTGGCGTTACAATGGATTGTCTACTTTGAGATAGCGGCAAAAAGGGTTCAATCTAATATGGTAAGTAGGTCGCCATTACTCATTTTAATTATCGAACGCATGTTTAGTTATGGGATTAGGGAACTCATGCTTCATCAATGATGTGAAATTATGAATGAATGCAGTGGTGGAGATAGGGAGAGATGTGAATCCATTCCGTCTTGCTAAGACTGTCTTTATCTTTCCTTCTCGATTCGTTCCAGTAAAGTTGTCTCATATTGAATTTGATAAAGCTCGATTCGTTCCGGTAGGATTGTCTCATATCAAATTTGGTAAAGCTCGATTCGTTTCGGCAGGATTGTCTCATATCAAATTTGTTAGATCATTGTTACTTTATCATTGTTAGACCGAGTGATGCACATGTCAGACGAGTTGAGATGTGTGGAGAAGAGGCAGAGAAGAGAGGGAGAGGAAGACCCAAACAGACGTGGGTTAGGGGAGTCAGAAGTGATATGTTTCTTCTTGGATTGGATGAGGGTATGGCTTTGGAGAGAGCAAAATGGAAGGCGGGTATTCGTGTGGAGGAGTGATCTTGTATCATCTCAGGCCCGTGCCTTATGTTAGGCTGGAGAGGCCCAAGTCTCAGGGCCCCAAAAAATTGAAAAAATTAGGGGCCCACAATTTTTTAAGCATTACTATTATTATACCTATGTATTTTCCAAGTCCGTCACCATTTGGGGTGGTTCCCGGTGGAGTTTTTTGATGAAATTTTTTGAGCATCTTTTTCATTAAGTCTAACTTACTCATACCAAATTTCAGTAAAAATAGAAATCGGGAAGGCAGTCAAATGAATTTTTGAAGATAACTGTGCAGTTTAACTGCGCAGTATATTTCAGAAAATCATTTGACTGCCTTATTGGTTGAATTTTTAGCTGAACTTCGGTATAGATAAACTAGACTTAATGAAAAAGGGGTGTTTTGCACTTTTTAAGTTAGTTCGAGGGCTGATTTGTAGAGAAAATTAATAATATATATTGTTGAGGATTCCACTAAATTATGTATCTAAAATTGTTCGACGGGTTTTACTTAAGTAATTTTTTAAATACATTCAATGTCGTTTTGTGATAATGGAAGACTTTTGTTCAAAGATTGTGTTTTTGTGATATTTATTCATTCAATTTTAGTGAATTTATATGATAAACAAACACTATGTATGTGGCCCATTTTATGAAGCTCGACTCAGGCCTGAGTTTAGGTAGGACCGGCACTGTATCATCTTTTCCCCCCTTTTTCTTCTTCTTCTTTTTTTCTTTTTCTTTTATATTTTTATCCTTATATATAAATATTACTTTATCCTTTTTATTTTATCTTTAATATGTATATTCATCTCTTTTGTATTGTCTTTTTTTTATAATAGCTTATCTTTTTTATCTTTATTTTCTTTCTTTTCCTTTTGGTGATATCATGTATCGATTCATGTTAGCCGACACCAATATCATTTGGGACTAAGGCTTGAATGTTGTTGTTGTTGCTGTATTGTTACTTTATCAATTCAATATTATCTACAAAAACTCATTTTTCTTTATGAACGCACCACTTGCTTATGTCTCAATGTTAATGGTACTGATATAGTAAGCATGTATAAATATTTATAATATGTAAAAATATACTCCGTATAGTGTTTAAATTTTGACTCTGCAATATAAAATCTTCAAACTCTCACCTAACACTATATTTGTCACTGAATCAATAAATATATAGGTGAAGAATACGGCTGCTCGTTGTCATGACATTGATATTAATTTCATCGTTGGATTGGCATGCCTTGTGGCGGGGCATATATATTCTAACTTTGTCGGAGTTTACTTGAAGAAAAATGGGCATCGAAATCTTGGTCAATGCGCAATAGTATTTTTTGCCTTCTCATGGTAAACTAATTAATTATTGTTTGTTTAGCGGTGTTTTTACTGAAACCTCGAATCTCTAGAGTTTTTTGAGTGGACAAATGTTTGGCAAAGTTTATTTACACCGATCTTGAACGTCTGCCTTGCTTTAGAGCAAGGTAAGGTGTTTGGCTCAGAGGGTCCGTTTGACTAAAAAACCAACGGCGGCAAATTTTGGTGGTCCACATCTCGAGGCGCATCCTTCCCCATCTGCCCGTTGGTTGCCACAAGGCACCTCAGCCGCACGGCAAAGGATCTCAATCTCATTTAGACACATAAGTATATCAAAAGTCAGTTATTCTTGTTATTTTGTTGATAAGCAAAATTGTGTTAAATAATTTGGAATTTAAAACCAAACAGGCTTTAAAAGGTGTGAGGTTTAATACTTCTATTATTTTAGAATTGCAAGTGTTTGTGGCAAAAATGATGGAAAGAAGAGAATCCATGATAACAAACACTCTATATTTGAGTGGTATAAGCTTACAACAAAATAAATTCTGCAAAACAATTCAATAAAGGAGCGTGAGTTACTGATTTCAAAGATTTTTGTTATATACTCCGTATGAAACAGTGTTTTTCTGGAAAATTGGACCGTCTTTTTTCCACTAGTAAAACTAAGATTCATACATCTAAATGGGGGAAGGTTTTAAAATGGTTGAGAAGTTTGAGAGCTCGAAAATGAGAAGAAGAAGAAGAAGAAGAAGAAGAAGAAGAAGAAGGAGGAGGAGGAGGAGGAGGAGGAGGAGGAGGAGGAGGAGGAGGAGGGGGAGGGGGAGGGGGAGGGGGAGGGGGAGGGGGAGGGGGAGGAGGAGGAGGAGGAGGAGGAGGAGGAGGAGGAAGAGGAAGACGAAGAGGAAGAGGAAGAGGAAGAGGAAGAGGAAGAGGGTAGGGGTGGTTTGGGGTTTGGGGTTGAGGGGGAGGGTAGGGGGTTGATTAGGAAAACCAAAAAAAAAATTATATAGAACCGAACCGGGCCCAGCCCGAACTGGACTCGAGGGTTACCCGGGCCAGTTCCAGGCCTCCCCTACCTTGAACCGAGGCCCGGACGGTTCAAGGCCCGAACCGAGTCCACCCTTAATCGCAATACTACTAAACATAGACCAATAGTGCTCGAGTTTTTTCCCTAATAGAGGTAGTTTCAAATCTTATTTCCCAAATTAGGGTAGTTTTAAACTTATTTCCCAAATAGGGGTGTTTTTCACCTTGTCATCGAAAAAGGCCCGCTAGCCACATCACGCCACCACGTCAGCGAACCCCAATTAATTGGCCGTCCATGTCACTCGCTAGCCAAATCACGCCTCCAGTCACCCGATCGCCACGCATGCATATCATTCTCATGTTTTTTTTAAATATCAGAAATTTTGAAGCAAGGGGGAGTCGAACCCCAACACAACTCGTTCAATTTCAGACCTTCATCCACTCTACCATTACACTTCATTGTCGCCGTATTGTTTTAATATGTATTTATAAACTTCTTTTCTTAATACTTCGTATAACATTAATAAAGTTTACTATATTTTCAATATAATAATAATAAAATAATAAATATTTATCCAATGAGATAGAGTATTCATGTTATCCACTAAGAGGGATATTATGAATAACATAATCCGTATTCAGTAGCATTCATATTAGGTGAGCATGACGGGAATCATTATTATTTCATATTTATATTATAAATAATTTGGTTTTAGTAATTATAATTTACATATTTATTAATATTTGCTACCATAATGTATGTGGATACATGTATATTTAATTTAGAGTTTCAATCCATGCATCACCATTAATGTATTTTTTTCACATCATTCACACAACATTTACACATTTACACATCAATCAGTTCGTGATGTACTGTCAAAAGTGCCGGTAGCGGGTTGTAACGGGCGGCGTAGCGGATTTTTCCCCTGATTCGGAAATCACACTGCTATAGCGGGCCGTAGCGGTAGCGGTGCCTACCGCGACCGCTATATAGCGTCCACTATAGCGGTAGCGGTCCGCTACTTCAAACACCGATACTAACGAATAAAAAAGTAAATGTTTTTTTTGAATGACATACTCCGCATACAAAGAATAAAAAATTAAATTGTAAGCATCATTTACGGTTAAAAATAAAGTTGATCGGAATATCGGATGTGATTCCCGTCAGGCTCGCCTAATTTGAATGCTACAGTATACGGAGTACGTTATTCATAATATCCCTCTTAGTGGATAACATGAATACTCTATCTTATTGGATAAATAATTATTATTTTATTATTATATTGAAAATATAGTAAACTTTATTGATGTTATATTAAGCAAAGAAGGTAATAAGTACACAATAAAACATCAAAGACGCAACTTATTGCAATGGTAGAGTGGCTGAAGGTTTATAATTGAAGGAGTGCTAGGGATCGACTCCCCCTAGCCTCAAAATTTTTGACATTTAAAAAAAAAAGCTGAATGAGATGACATGCAGGCGGCGTGACATGGCGAGCGGGTGATGTGGCGAACGGGTGACACAGATGACATGGAGGCGGCGTGACGTGGCGAGCGGGGTGACATGTAAGCCCAATTAATTGGGCTTCGCTGACGTGGTGGCTTCCAGATTGATGACAGGGCGAAAAACACCCCTATTTGGGAAATAAGTTTAAAACTACCCTAGTTTGGGAAATAAGATTTGAAACTAACCCTGCTAGAGAAAAAACTCAATAGTGCTCCTTGCTTGATATGCGCATAACTTTAACTTGCTCGACTTTACTTCAAAGTCTAAAAAGGATATATGTAACCGTATATGCATTTTATTTAGTTGAACCAAGACATAAGGCTCCGGCCGTATGCCATGTTTTGCTTAAAGGAAGCGGTCCAGTCCAACTAATCGTCGACGCACTCTCCGCTATGGGAGGTCTCGAGTTCAATTCTCAATGAAGTAACATTGATTCCAGTTTACCCCCATGCCCCCCCCCCCCCCCCCCCCGAAAAACCCTCTCCCCCGACGCCCCCTGGTGTGGTAAAAATATATATAATGTTTTGCTTAAATTATTATAAACATGTACATATGTTCATTATGTTCATCTTTAGAACGACTCATCGATCATTCAACTCTCTATTTTATGTATATATTCATTATGTTTGTCTTTAGAACGGCTTTTGCCAAATTCACAAAAGAGACGTATCGCATCTGTTTTTAAAGATGAACATAATGAAAAAAAAACTTATTGTTCAACTAGACATCAGACAACTAGAATTAGCATTGTCCTATTTGGCATTAGTTTAGCAACGTAATATCACAAAGCAGGAGTCTTTTTTAAATTAATTTCCGCATGGAGTCTTTTTCAAATAAAGTATGTCACACCGTTCTTCCGCATGGAGTCTTTTTGAAATAAAGTATGTCACGCCCCTTCAATATGACTACGATATAAGCCAGATCCGTATCATTATCAAGCTTCATAGCATTTTGCTCCTTACTCCTAATCTGCAACGGACAAATATAAGAAACTGAAATTTTATTAGCCTGCTCCTTACTCCTATTCTAATTATTACGCTTTTCCCTGAAAGAGAAGTAAATTCCGATAATCTTGAAATCATATTGAATTTTGACATTATCATACCTTAATATTACAGTAATAATGCCATAATTAACGGTATTTTCTACTTAAATTTAGGGCTTGTTCAGCCTTGCTCAAATTTAGGGCTTAATTAGCTTAATTTTATTTACTCCAATAACTATATTTTTGCTGCTTGTTCACCAAAAGAGCACAAATCTACTATTTCCAGTTTTTCAGAATTTCATATTTAGGTCTATATATATATAAAATAGAAGTTGATACCAAATAAGGCCAAAACTAACTAATATTTTTAAGGAGTATCCACCAATGATAACTTTAAATATTCTTAAAAGGCATAATGTAATGAAGCAATAATAATAATGGGAAAAAACATGAACTGACATAGGCACGTAGCTGCTTCCATATGAAGAGCACAAAGTAGCAGGAACTACTATATTAATTATATAGATGAACTTAATGAGAAATGAAAGACAAATAGCAAACTTTGTCATGTTTGAATTGAATTGAAGAATTGCCCAATGAATAAACATGGTGGATAGTATTAGCATTGTTACTATGGTGTATATCAATATCAGATTGTAACTGTTTCCTATTCTGTACTTCTTGTCTTCCATTCAAAGATTCTCACTATCCTTGGACATTCCAAATGAAGGTTCCCATTTTCAATTTTAGAAAACAATTAACACTCTTAAATAACAATTTAATCATCAAATATTAAGATAATATTATCTATAACATCATAGTTATCATCAAAACTATTTCTCAAGATACACTTGAAGAAGCAGATCATTGTTTTTCTATCTAGGGAGAAAAAGGGTAGTGCTTTCAAGGCAACATAATTTATCACAACAATGGACGATTGTAGTGTATCATACCTTTTCAAATAGATCAATATACTCTGCCGAATCTTCACGATAGTTATCAGCTAGCACATTCTTCAAACCCTGGTCATTGAAAATAATAAGATGCATTAGGAAAAACACTTTCAAGACTAAATTTAAGACAGAAATGATACATAAAAAACAGGAGAAGTCTTTAGTACAACATAAAATCATACTACGTATTAAAATAACTACAAGAGCAATACCTCGACATCACCACAATCATTGGTCAAGTAATGAAGACATTGAACACTCTCTTCTGTCAAGTCAACCTCAGCAAATGTCTCCTTTTCACCTCTAAGAGAAAATAATATTGAAAACAACAGAGTCACATCCTTATCACTCCAGTACCCGAATAGAATACTCAAGGCTTTCCTTCAAAAGCAAAACATAAAGTAATAATCAATAAAGAGAATGGATGTCCAAATGGATAAAGTGCAGCTGCAACTCATAAAATGTGCAATTCAAAATTGAAAATTGAGAAAGAACACCGGTTCAAGGGCATAGTTTCCAACGCATATATAAGTAATTAATTCTATTTTGATTACCAAAAGGTTCCAACATGTGTTTCAACACATCCACTTTGTGCAATAAGATAAAAAGCTAGCAAAAGCATTAGACTATTTTGATTAGATCTTTTGTCAGTAGCATCTGTACTTCTCCATAGTGTCCAGAAAACAAAGCTGGTTCAAACATTTTTGTCTACAAAGAAGAATCCACATAGGTCAAACGAATGTTACTTCATATACCTCACCAAAATATTTTAAAAAAAAGTTACACAGCATGCTATGTTCATTGTGGTCGCGGCGGCTAGGCAAGGTGAGGTGAGGCGCCAGTGAACCGCCGTATGGCTTAGGCATCTAGGTGCCAACCTGGCGGCAAGTCGCTCCATACGTAATATTATTATTATTATTACTATATACATATGTAATGAAATAATATATTAATAATAAATAAATAAAATTAAAAATTAAAATTAGGAAATAAATTAAAGGTATAATAGATGAGATAATATCTGACAATTTAATCATTTATCTGCAACAAATGTCCAATATAAATTTCCACAAAGGTAATAATCTGAACAACAATGCCAGTGCAGCAGACATTTATTCAAAGGGATGGAAATAAAATACTAGATGGACTCCAGCTGTGTATAAAAAGTGTCCAGTAAGAAACCCCTACTCCGTATAACACGGGCTAAAGATTAAAAGATAAGTTCAGACAAACAAAGTAGAATAAACCAAAGGACGGCAGTGACTAACAAAATCAGGAACAAGCGAGAGATGGAGCCAGACTGGCGGCGTCAACCAGCAGTGGTGTCAGAGGTGATGACCTGGCCGACGGGTTGCAGGGCCTAGGGTTCGGGTTGACGTGCCAGTCAGTGAATACTGGACCTGGGTGTCGCCATGACGACTTCCAGACGTCTAATCAACGCCAAGTTACGTCTTGACAGCAGTTACGTCTTGACAGCTTCACCCGAGTCGGTTGATCACGGCGTCACTCCTCCACCGCAAGGACTACTAGTCGGCACATACGCGACGCCGTAACAACTATGGCAATGTTTAATTAATCCAAAGTATATGCTCCAACTTAGGGAGAGTTGTGCGCTTGTATGACATGAAAAATGAAAAGCATACATTGACTATTTTGGGAGTAGTATTAGTTTGTCAATACACCAACATAATGAATCTGTGAACCTAATAAACTAACAGTTGCACTAAACCACATTTCTTGCTTCTAAGAGACATAGATCTACCACATAACAAATCATGCGTCTCTTGGAGTACACAAACCTCATCTTATTAACAAAATCACTCTCAACAACCGACCCCAGCAAACGATCTTTATTTATACGAATCATTCGTTCCTGACATCGTAAAAGCTGTGCTCCTTTTGAATACTTGTGAAAAACATTGACTAGGGGGGCTGACTGTTAAACAAAATGGTTAATCATTAATTAAGTGATTATTGGTGCAGAAATTGATATGATAGCAGAATACCTCCTTCAATGCCTTAATCAGCTGCAGGATAATGACAGGCTCAAACCAAAACTCCATTGCTGAACACCTATGTCTTTCAATATACTTGAAATAGTGAGCATACTTTACCGGAACATCATCCTTAAGAGATGCTAGGAATTCTTCCGCCCAGGTGACTGCTTTTGGAACCTTTGTTAGTTGGTCAGCCAATTTGCTAATGGATTCATCCTACATGAGTTAACTGATAAGCTTAATCAAACAAAAAAAAATGTTTCAATAATTATGATACATTTATTAAAATCAGAATCACGACATATAATTCAAATCAATGGTTTGGACTAAAGAGATAGCAAACAATGCCTACAGCTTACAGATATTGCCCAAATTAGCATTTGATACCAGAAACCATTCAAAAACACAGCAAATGCCAAAATAAGATTGTACAGGAAATGTTGATACCCAATTTGTACAATGTTTACTCCTAAACATCTGGTAACAAGACCCTCTACTCCTCAGAACTGGGATATAATAGCTATGAGCATATTTATAATATTTTTAGTCCTTTTGTTCCACATTATATGATCGCAGATGAAGGGTGGGGATATACATACTTGACAAAGCTCAGCAATGATACAGCAAGCTGGAGACTCCATGCACATTTGATTCTTACATCTCTCTTCTCCCAAAGGAGAATGAGTTTTCGCTTCCTAATAGTTTGTGTCAATAAATGAATCATCATGGAAAAAATGGAATCAACTTTGAGAAATCAAATACATCTTAAATAGGCAAAATCAAAAGTGAACACAGTTGTCATGGCGTCTGGCGAGAGCCATGAGGACAAGGCAGTTTTCCATGGCGATGGCGCATTTATGTTGTGGCCACATGATAAAAAAATTTACTGAAAATGGACAAGACACTAAACCTATGAATCAACCACCAAAGTTGAATACCCACATTCTACCGTAAACATGTGAAGTTAATTATATTTATTTGTTAACCAATTTGTTGGTTAACTATGTTTAACATACTTAAGTTGTTTGATATATGCAAAAACTACATTTAATATATATTTGTATATTAATGTGTGTGTGTGTGTGTGACTGTGTGTGTAAACTTTTCAAAAAGATAAGTCTCCATTTGGGAACAAAATTAGTTTCAAAACAGTGAATTTTGGGGCCAAGGGAGGAGGTAATCATGAACTTGCAAAGATATTCTTCAAAGCTGATGAGTGTGTTCCATAAAGATCATAGGTGTGAAGAAGGTTTGTGTGACAAGCTACAAGGCAAGTGAACATGTGAAATAACCATCAACGGGTAAAGAATATTCCTCAAAACTAATGCAGCCGAGGTGAAAAGGTCCATCAACATCATAACATAAAATTCTTTAAGCTATTGAGGCTCTGTTTATTTCTTTTAGTAGTAAATTCGAACTGCATATGAACCAGTAATCCAGTATAGACCAAATGAATGTCATAAAAAAAATCACAGAGAATACATCACCTAAGAATTGTAATACCCACTGATTAATTTCTTATTAGGGTTTTATTACTGTTATGAACTGACTCATTAATTAATTAATCAGGGCCAAAGCCCAAAAATAACCAAGTAAATATGTTTAGATCTGTTTAATATGGCGGCATGGCGCACGTGGCGTGGCGATGGCACCAATATGGCGTCGCCTCATACATGGTCATTGCCAGGACTTTCCATAGCGAGGGAGGTTTTATAACCGCATGGCAACTATGGAAGTAGAAATCATGGATATACTTGAGTAAGACAACAAATATTTAACTTTAACTGGTAAGATAGAGAAAATGATAGAAAGGGAATTTTTAAAGCTTTCGGAAATGATCAGCATAAATGATACTTAGGAGACCTACCTTCACAAAACTAGGAAGGGCATCTCCGATGACTTTTTTTACTCCGAAAGCACGACCACCCATTGTATAAACCAATGGAAGAAGTGCAACTTCATTAGCCCAGAATCCTATTATAATACTCAAGGCACTCCTTGAATAATTGATGAAATATGGAGCAGATGAGATATAAAAAACCACATATATAGTTGTTTAAATTACGCATATCATCATCAAATTCATAGTCATGCAAATTCATCTACGTATGGAGCAGAAAGAACCTCATCATACTTGCAGGTTCCGTATATTGAACAATAACTTTAAATGAAGGATCACTCCTAATCTTAGGTACAATGAATTCGGTCAGTTTGCGGCTAGCTAAAATCTTACATGTCTTCATTGGATAGGGGGCACCCTCCTCCTGTAAAAGAAAAGATGAATGAATGTGGTAAGGAAAGAAAGATGCCTAAGATACAGGTATACGGAGTAGTTGGTACACCAAGTAAAAATGAAATCCATAAATATTCATACCTTTAAAAGAACTCTAAGAAAGTCACGGTGTCCCCAAACCTTTTTTACTTTGTCAAAATGATCCAATGCAGGATTACTACAGGTATGTTCTGAATTGACAAAAAGTGTACCAAGAAACTCATTTAAAAGTTGAACAGCTGCCTCATCTTTCAATACTTTATCAGTGAAAAACTTAAGGGAGGGACCCTGCACAAATGTATAAATGTGTACACTTTTATACTTTATGTATAAATAAATAAATAAATACGCAAGTACGCACGAACATAAGCACGTAAGTACCAACGTAAGTAAATAAATGAATAAATAAATAAATAAACAATTCAATTAATTAAAATTTAATACTTATATATAAATAAATATGAAAAAGTAAAGCAAGCAAGTAAGAATAACAAAAGAAGTACTCACATAAACAAGTAGAGGAATCATATTTGCTTCACCACTCTCTGACTTGAATACTAAGAGCTAAAAAAATTAAAAAGTTAGGCAACCACACATAATTCACCAAAGATACAGCATGATACGTATTTAACAAATTCATTAAAAATTACAGTTCCAGATTCTTCATCAATAGTTAAATAAATCACTACCATCTTTACTTCTAGCCATCGCCAAGGACCTCTTAAATATCAGTGGCTGCAATCGCTGGTAGGAGCTCCACCTACACATCACTGCATCTCCCACCTCTTCAGTCGGCTCTTGCTCTTTCAACGACTTCAAGGTAACCTCTCAATTTCAGAAATTAATTTGTGTTAGAGAAATTGCATATAGCCCTTGTTTCAAAATCTTCCATCGGTTAGCCCTCCATCGGTGCTTTACTTCCAAAGCAATCGGTTTTCTGGATGTAGATGATGATATCTATACAGATGGATTTTCTATATATCGTATAATTCTTATATATGTGATATAATGAAGTACCACATGAGTGGATTTATAGGAATCAAATCTATAATTTCGATTGTGAAAAATGAAACCTAAGGGTAATTTTTTTGACATAGGTATGTGACGTGTATGGAATGCTTCTTAATCAATTTAAATTGGGTAATAATAAGATCACTTCATATTTTGGTATAGTTTTAGGCTCTTGACTTCCTCTCCTAAGATCAGACAAAACATTTACGGCAAGCCTGAGATGAAGAGCAAAAGACATTATTACCTGCTAACACTTGGTTTGGAAGCAAAAAAATGGTCCTAAATTAACTACGTACATCTTTTTTTAAAATTCACACTACATTAGACAGGATATTCTTAATTTACATACTTTTATATGTGAATGCATAGAATTGTCCTCCATTATCTCAAATGTGAATGTAATCTTGTTCAGTGGTTAATGTTTCAAGCTCAAAAGCCATGCTTAATGTTCACAGAGAACACACCCATGAAAGACAGATGTGTCTTTTTTGCTTTGTTGATAGCCCCAAGCACAACTTTGAGGCATTGAGACATATGAGGGCAAACAAAATGGTACTGAGTTTAAAAAAATAAAAGCATGGGCTAACGGCTAGTTTATATTTTAATGATTGGATGGTTTTATTTCTTATGCTAATTTGTTCTCTTCGAAAAACTGTTTTGATATAAGCAACTAGTTCATTAGGATTAATTTGTGCACATGAGCATTATATTGCTAGTTACAGTTGATAGTTATAATAAGATTGAACACAGTGGCATGATTCAATGAAATCTTGTTAAGCAGGGTTCAATGAAATCTTGTTAACAAATTGACTTTGTTTTTTTGATAAATTTAGCTAAGTGGTTTTAAGCAGTGGCTTGTCACTTGTTCCGAAATCTGTACGGATCTGACTTCTGAGTATAATTCAGACAACTTTTATCTTATTAATAGTTACTTACTGCTTAGGATAAAGAAATGGGCAATTAGGCCACTTTTATCTTATTAATAGTTACTGGTTGGGATAAAGTAAGGGCACGCCCACTTTTCAATACTACGTTTTAATATATTAAACAACCTTTTTTCCTTTGATTGTATTCGAAAAAGTAGTAAGAGTAATACAGAGTAACTATTTTTCATGTAGCTGAAATTGTATTTTAGTTTTGTCTCGAAGGCAAAAGTGGGCAGTATTTGGCCGTGTAGGTTTCTGCACTGGGCACATTTCGTTTCCTGGGATCAAACTTTCCAGTTTGTTTACTTCATTTTATGTGTACCGTATATCCCATAGATGAGTGTCCATATTTGTTGCGGTAGATGAGTTTAACACAAGAAGAAAAAGATGATGCCACATGTCCCGATGAAAAAGAGACTATTTTTTACTGTGCTATATGAACGGGTAAAAAAAGATGCTACTGGGAATCCAACATTTATATTAAAACACTTTAACATTGAAAGTGTTTCTTACGTATTATGTGATTTTGCATTTGTCTTGCACCTGAAGTCCTGAACCATGAATGTTATACGCTATTGGAGTATGAGGAAGATGATATGATATTTAACACGGAGACAAGTACAAGTGAAAATGGATCACTTGAATTTGATATGTCTCAACAACAACAAATGCACGAAATTCGAGAAAGTGTTGCAAATGGAATATGGGATGATTATAATGTTTGAGATATTTAAGTACAACTGTTGTTCTGTTTAACATGTCACTTATTGAACTTTCAATGTTGGGAAACATTTATATTAATTTTTTTTTGTGTTATTTCAAATGTTTGTGAATGTGCATTTCTTTTTCCAAATATTAAGTCAACGTTGTTTGGTAAAAATGAAATGAAAAATTGAAAACTACTGGTAAACATGTTTTCTGATTTGGAAAACAAAAAAATGGAAAACGAAAAACAGAAAACTGAAGACTTGAAAACAGAAAATGAAAATAGAAAAATATTTTTGTTAGTAAACAGGCCCTAAATTTTTAAGGGAAGAGCAATTAGAAGATTTTGTAATACTTTACCTCGGAACAACTGTCAAGAGATGTTGTAGATTCACTATCATTGCCACTGTCAAGAGATGTCATATATTCACTATCACAGCCGCTGTCAGGAGATGTAGATTCACAACTAGTATCACTGTCACACAACTCATCCGTATTCATTGGTTCAGGCAGATCCCCAATCACATCTTTTCCACTCCAAGAAGTGATCAAAATTATCAATGCCGCCCTAGAAAAAAAATTGGAATCTCAATGCTACAAATATCAACATTCATGAACAATTGACTGATTAACTTTTAAGCAGGGCTAAAGCTTGAATGGTGTTCTTGTAGCAACGATGAGAAAACGTAACTTGTCAAAAAATGCCCATACTTCAAGCTCAAGTATCAGAAATAAGCTTTCCTAAGAATAAAAATAAGGAAAAATTGAAAATAATAATCTCAACTATTGTCGATCCGCTGACAATAATCCCAACTATTGATTATTTTTGTATAATCCCAACTATATGTACCGTCCGCCAAAAATGGTCCATGACCATATATTACCTCCTATAACAAGTGATTTTTAAATAGAAATTAAGCATAAAAATTAAAAGTTGAGATTATTGATAGGGATTACTTGTTATATCTCTTCTCATCCACTTTAAAAACTGCAAGAATTTATTCATAGGGACCATTATTGGCGGAAAGTCCCTATAGTTGGGATTATTCTGAAATAATCGATAGTTGGGATTATTATGAGCGGACCGCCAATAGTTGAGATTATTACTATCAATTTTTTCTAAAAATAATTTGATTAGCCGAAAAATAAAGCTTCACCATTTAGATTAGGTTCAAGCATGTGGACATGACATATGATAGGAGTCCATGTAGTATGGATGTGCTCACGTGTAAAATAACAGTTAAGAAGGCCCAATCTCTTTTTGTGATTCAAGAATAGCATATCAAATATACAAATGCAATGTCATCTGTTGCACAATGCCATGCCAAGTTGATCATAAATAGGTCTCTTATTTGAGAGAGATGATCAATAGTTCATCACATAACAAATTAGACATCACTAGTGAATTATAGAGAAAGAACCTCATCATAGCAACAGGCTCTCTATCTCCTAATATAGGTTTGAAAGAGGCATTATTCTTGATACAAGACATTTGTTCTTCAATTTGTTGAGCCACTTGAACTTGCTTTGGATCGGTCTCAAGTGGGCATGGTCGCAAACACTGGGAAAAAAAATGAGAACGTTCAATTGAGGGTGGTAACACTAGATAAAGTAATAGTTTGACGTATAAAACCTGATTCAATGCTCTACAGTGCTTTTGATTTTGCCAAATTTGCAATGATGCGAATTGTTTCCAGGCATCAAGATTGCAGATAACATGTTCATTTCCATCGTTTTGGAGGGGTTCCAGGAGATCTTTTACCATCTGAATAAGATGCGGATCTACTGCTAGTTCTTGAGCCAGATTATTGATGGATGGATCCTACATTTAATGCAAATGGGAAAATATACACGTCCATGAGAGACTGATATATGTATTGAGAGCATCTTCATGCAACCATATTCATTGACATGCATTATGAATGACAAGAAATTATCACTTAAGAATGTGGACTATAGGTTTTTTATATGGGGAATGGAAGGCTGAATACAATTTACTAGGACTAACAAACTAAATAGAAGCAAAGATAATCACACTCGATGAAAGTAGTGAATATAATTAAAGTTAGCTCAAAACAAGAAAGATAATATATGCGAGAGTTAATACCAGAAAAAGTCCCAGAGTATTGTGGCAATACCCAATTTAGTACTACACTCTTAATTTGGTAGGCTTTGGTCCTCACTTTCAATTCATTACCAAGTTTATTCCTTTAATTTTTTTATTCAAGAAAAAATGGCAAAAATGGTACATCTACACCCTTTAAAGACAAAAATATACTCCGTACATGATTAATTTTCACTTTTTTAAAAATTGCGATTAAATTTAATTTTATTAATATACAATATACTTTTCTATTAATTCTAATTCCCACTCAACTACCCACCCCGGTCCCATTGCTGGCTCCAGCCGCATCTGTCAGCAATCGTCGCCAGAAACCGCCAGTGTCAGTAAATATCACTCGGATATTTATATTCCAAAAACCACCGCCGGAAAAGTATCCTTAGTGAAAATTGTTTCACAAGATTCTTTTTGAATTTTCACTGGGAAAAAAAATTCAACTGTCGTAGTGACATGTTGGTTAGGAGATACTAGTAATTAATTGAACATTCTCATATACAAATATTACTTAATTCAAATAAATATCTTATTATAGACTAAGACCTTAATCCATATAAGGCTCAAGGCGACTGTCCGGATTCTTTTTTGGGGTAATAAAAAAAACAGAAATTTTTTCTGGCGGTGGCGGTTCCAAAAACAACCGCCGACAGATGCAACTAGAGCACATTAGGGGTGGATTTGGTTTGGTACCCGAACCAAAAATGGAAAAATTCTGAACCAAATAGACTTTTCACTTTCTCAAATTCCGTAAACCGCAACCGAACCGAATATTACTGAGACCCAAGTTTTCAGAAACCGAAATTTCGGGTCAGTTTTTTGTTTGATGAAAACCCGAATGAATTTTGAAATATTGGACTAATGCAGAGCACTGAAGCATCCTTGAATACCTATTCTGACTCTCTCGAAGGAGAATATATAGGCACAAATGAGGAGGAAATCCTCTGTTTTAATCGGCGTAGGAACTTTTCAAAAGTTTTAGAAAAATAAAATGAAAAGAACTGGTAGCAGGCGGGAATCGAACATGGGTGAAAACGTTGGTGCGTGCGCACAGAGCTCTATGCTAAACTACTGAACAGCATCAACAAGTTGTTAAAAGTAGGACTTATATACTTACAATACTTACTTTTGCTGCGGAAATGCGAAATAAATAATTAAATATCCCTTAAGTCCTTAACTATTCGGTTAGGTTGGGTTAGAGCCGATTTTAAAAAGGCAAAACCCCATCTTTAACCGATTCATGTTCGGATCCCAGTTTTCGGGTCCCGTTTAAGTTCGTTCAATTTTGGTTCAGTTTTTTATTGCTCAGTTCGGGTTTTTCGGTTCGGTTTTCGGTTTATCGGTTTAAAATGCCAACCCTAGAGCGCATAGTAGGACAGGGGAACAGAGGTTGGTAGTTGGGTAAGAATTAGAAATTAAAGAAACTTAAAAATAAAGCTAGTCTTACTTTTGTCCTTAAAAGATGTAGATACACTATTTTCGCCATTTTTACCAAAAATAAAACAATAGAGGACTAAACTTGGTAAAGGATTAAAAGTTGAGGACCAAAGTTAACCAAATTAGGAATGTAGGACTAAATTGAGTAGTGACACACTACTTTGGGTGCAAAATTAATAAATATCGGCAGTTCTTAATAGTCACTTTGCTCCATATGATAACAATAACAGCAATTGTAACTTAGTAATTTTTACTATTACTACTCATGTTGTTTGTATAGCAAGATAGTTAAATTAAAAACACGAAATTATTTTACCAACAAAGCCAAGCCAAGAATAAGTAGTTTGACAGATGCTTACATTGACAAGCTGAGTAAAAGAAGCATAGAGAGGCACTCCTGAAGCAGCAAATACAGATGGTTCTATTCTCTTCGGATTTGGTACCTCTTCAGCTAATGCCTCAGGAGAGGCTCCTCTTTTCTCAGCAGACATTGATGGTTCATAAGGCATTTTACTGTCAAACTGCTCTTCAGTCAAGAATTGGGGGGGGTGTCTTCCTGAAAACAAGTTCATTAGAATATATTTAATCTAACAACCGTTAATCCATAAATGCATTTGTGACTATCTCAGATGTGTTAATATTTCTAAGAATTTATATGCTACGTAGAATTAAAAGTTCCTGTACACAATCATGTGGTCAACTTAACCCTAAAAAAACTCTGATGTTATACAAATAACCTTTTACCATATTCAAATTTAGTTTTTGAAGTTTGAGATGTTGTTTCTTGATACGTATCATTTTCATTACAGAAACTAATTTAAATATTATTACCTATTTAAAAAATGGCACAGTTATTTAGATAATAATTAAATAAAGTAATTCGTGTATATTTGCAAGCAATAAATTGATGGTATATAAAATAAGGAGGTCATTAACCACTTAGCCCACTCCACTCCTCATTCCTGGATCCACCGTTCCACGAGATAAAAGCCTCAAAAGTAGAACTAATAAATAAAACATTGTATACCAACTAAAAAATTGCATAAGCTAAAGTGGAGACTTTTATTACAAAGAATTAAAATTAACTAATAAAGACAACATATACAGTGGAAACATTGATGAAAGTTAATCAATGAACACACCGTAAACAACCCCAATCAAGTCCTGACAGCATGTTGCTTGGGCCTTGGAGAACGTGTAGAAAATATACATTAAAAAATTAAATTTGTAAAAAACACAGCCAAACAAATCTAGCCATCCTATTCATTGGGACGGTCAATTTTCAGCCAATAAAATCTCAACAGCCTGTTATTGGTACAGGTGTATTCTTAGCCAAACAAATCTCGCAAACCTGTTCTAGACATTTGTATTTTCTTCGTGAAAAGATCACTCATTTTTCTATATCTACTATTCTACTACTACCTAGCAAAAACTTTCCAAATGAATACAAATCAATCTTTCTGCCTCTTCTGATTCTCTTTTAAAATTCTCAGTCTGCAATATGGAAAATATCACCTTATGTGTGAGTGATGTGTAAACCTAATGTTTTTTTAGTACAAACTGAAAAAGTAATTTTTCTATAATGAATGATTTTTATATGTTTCAAGTTAAGGATAAAGAACTACTTTTGATTGAATGTTAAAGAAATAGTTAAACTAACTAAATCCACGTCTCAGAAGCTTTGTCTTTAATGTGTAGCAATTAGCATTGCTTACACACAAATTTTAACTTATACATGTATATTATACAATTAACTCGATTCATGGTTAATTTTTGTTTCACTGAGAAAGCATATATATAGAATGGTTTAGAGGTAAAATATTTTATGACAATCTTGCAGAAGGCATGTTTTGAGAACTAGAATACAAAATTAGCATTACAAAATATAGTTTAAGTGGGCTGAATTTTCAAAAAAGATTACCGCAAGACTTTAGTGCTATTTCCACTTAGAGTTAGTTCGTGTGTGTGTGCAGTGAGGATAGTTAAATTAGTTAGATAGGTTTGCTCCTTAATTATAGAAAAGTCATTATCCATATTATCCATATATAACAGAGTAGTATTTATCTTAGTTTTTTTCAATAGTTATTGTAAAACAGTTAATTTAGTTGAAATGCATTTATAGTGGGAATAGGATGTGAAGAATAACAGTCTGTTTGATTTAGGGTGATAAAAAATTCAACAACTAGCATATATTTGTTTAAGTGATATATTTGTTTAAGTGAGATGAGGATCGAAAAACACTACATTTAGGGGATTCAATACTGTTTTGATTTCAACACTGAGTCATATTAGTTAGTTACTATTGCTCTTAATTGCAGGAAAATCAGTTTTTTTAGTAGTAAGTAAAAATACTTAGTTCACATGTGTAGTGTAAAGTAAGAACGGAAGGTTAAGGAATAACAATCTATTTGAGTATCTAGTTTTTTTAGAGTTATTTGAGACTTTGAGTATCTAGTTGAATAAATAAAAATCTTTTAATCTAACAAATTTCAAAAGATTAGGAAAAATAAGAAAAAATTGCCCTAAATAGGAGTAAAAACGTTTTGAAATTCCAAAACAGGAGTATCATGTTACTCCTGTTTTGGAATTTCAAAATGTTTTTCCTCCTATTTAGGGAATTCTCTCAAACTTATTTTCTTAAAAAATTTAAAACATAACTTTAATGACCGTCAAGGTGTTGGTGAGTAAGAATCCGTGCTCTATATTATCAAAGAAGAATGGAAAATGAAATCAGTACCAGATCTTAAGGTTTTAGGATAGATTTGTATGAATCATAAACATGCCCTTGACGAAAAAAATCATAAGAAAACCTACCGATATGTAGGTTGACGAGGCTGGCGGGGTATCCATGGAAGCGGTTATAAAATCTCTGCCGGTGTGGGATCGGAGGAGGTCACGATAGAAGGAATTGATATCGGTGATCCACAGAGGGAATGGCCGATTGGCTGAGGACCAAGGGGTGGGCACGCTTTTGATATCTTAACCGCTTTTGGTTAACCAACTTCTGTTAACCGATAGTTCGGTTAATATATTTTCAATACAACTATCAGTACCATGACGGTTAACCGGGTATTGGTTAACCCAAATTTCGGTTAACCACTAACAGTTAACCAAATAACTGTGAAATAAATAAAAATGAATTAAACTGCCAAATTAATAATAAAATGGTTGTTCGATCAATGTAAACGTATATTGAAGATACGGATTACGGAGTATGAGATACTTATTATAGCTTTTCAGCATGTAATGAAGGATTGAACTAATATATTTATATAATTATATATGTAGTATTTGATTTTTTTTATCGTACGTAGTATTTGAAATTCAAAGCATCTTTTTCTTAATATATGAGAAGAAATAATTATGCAGTGTATGTAATTATTACACCCATTATAACTATATGAAGTGTCTTACATAGCCTTATTTTACTCCGTATTTACTTAAAATATACTCTATACTATGTTTAGGGGTGGTTCGGTACGGTATACCGAATATTTTCTCTCATACCTTTGTCGTACCAAAACTTTCGGTATACCGAAGTTTCAGTATACCGCATTTCGGTATACCGAAGTTTCGGTACGATAACGGTACGGTATCGGTAAATTACCATAGACTAATAAAATACACTAAATCGGTGTTACTAGCGACATACTACCTCCGTTCTTTTTTATTAGTCCTTCTTTCCTTTTTGGGACGTTTTTTTTATCTGTCCTCCTTTCCATTTAAGGAAAGTTTTTACTCTAAATATACCTTTATACCCCAACTTTTATTATCATTACCCCTTTCTCTTTCCTACTTTTTCATTTACCCACTACTCATTACACCTTTAACACTACCCCTACTATTTTCCTCTTAAAACCCGTGCCAAAGCTTAGGAGGACTAATATTAAAGAACGGAGGGAGTATTTAATCCATTATTAAAATGTTTCAAAATACAATTAATAATCTATTGATGTCATATTCAATATTAAACAATAATTATTTTTAGTATATTTAAGTAGTTCAACATGCCATGTATTAAAAAGTAATACATTCTCCTAAAATAACTTGAATAATATAGATATAATTAAATCAATAGTGATCTCTAACAAAAATAAATGGATTTTTTCAAACAATATGGATATAAAATCATTTATTCCTAATATGATTGTGTATTTAGTCATTTTATAATTTTAAAAAAATATTTAAATAAGACTTTCGGAAGTTGTAAGTCGCTTTGCCAGAAGGATTGGTTAGTCGTGGTCTCTAAGATAAGGCATCAACAGATACTGATGCCAATGAACAGTCGCCTTAGGACAGATCCATACGAACATCAAATTGGCCGAGCTGTATGTTTTGACTCGCGGAATCCCTATGTAGATACACTCGTCACACTCGTTAGCAGACGAGCTTACCGTCCGCTGACGATCTTGATTTTAAATGAGATCGTTTGTATAGCTTATTGTCCAGGACGACATAGCTCGGGGCCCGTCGCCGGACGAGCTTCGCTTCCTCCTCTTGGTCGGGTAATGTACCGTCGGCTATGTAATGTAACAAATCGTCCACCCAACTCCAAGCTACTGGTTGCAAAGGAAGCACAGTTACCGAGGGTGAGGCTGTTATGCTCGAGGTCGTCACCTCCTCGACCCGAGCAATCTTGGATATGTGCTCGGGTAGCCCTTGGGATAGACGGGATAGGAGGTCAGCATCCCCATTCTGGCTCCACGGAATACAGATCAGCTCTGCTTGTTTGAACAATCCGAGTAATTCCCGGACGGCATCCCTGTACTTCGCCATCCTTTCTTCCTTTGCCTCGAAATTGCCTTTCACTTGAGATACGACCAACCGGGAGTCACACTTCACCGTTATCCACTCCGCCCGCATAGCCACAGCCAGTCGCAGCCCCGACAGTAGGGCCTCATACTCAACTTCATTATTCGAGACTTTGAATAGGTAACGGTAGGCGTAGTACGCCCGGAATCCCTCAGGTGAGGTGAGGACAATCCCACCCCCGCAGCCTTTAGTCCCGGACGATCCATCGGTCACAAGGTCCACCAGTGTTCTTCACTATCTCTCTGCCTTTCGGTAACCTCCTTTGCCGTGCACTCTACGATGAAGTCCGCAAGTGCATGTCCCTTGATGGACGATCGAGGCCAAAAGTCCACCTCATACTGGTTGAGAAGCATCGACCACTTCACGACCCGCGTCGTCCCGGGGGTTCTCAAAGCTGCGCCTAGAGGTTGATCCAAAAGGACCTTGATCGGGTGTGCTTGAAAATAATGAGTCAACTTCTTTGTCGTAACGTATGCGGCATAAATAGTCTTCTCGTGTAACACCCCGGCCCCACCAGACCCGAGGGAGTTACTCCGGACCAATAGTACTGTCCTCACAAACCGCCACTAGCCTTTTATCGCGCACTTTGTCCTCACTCGTGTGCGCCCTGAGAAACTTCCCAGGGGGTCACCCATCCCAAGACTACTCCCGTGCAAGCACACTTAACTTTGGAGTTCTTGGGGATGAGCTCCCTTAAAAGGAGATGCATCTTGTTGGTATGAGTAGTACTATTAATCCATTTATATTAAATCTCAAGTGTTACAATCACCCCCACTTAGGATCGCAACGTCCTCGTTGCGCCCATAAACCAATCTCAAATCTCAATCAAATCCCAGAATTTCCCCCCGCTAAGTGCCCGCCCGATATCCAACAGGTCATCACACTGTCGCGGGGTTGCTCTGATACCACTTTGTAAAGCATGGATTCGAACCCTTGGGTTGAGTGGGCCGAATGTTCTACAACTTACACAAACTGCTGCACATTCAAAGCACATCTACCCTTGGGAGAAATCCGCGGTGTCGGTTTTCCACATCCGGATAAATGTGGAGGGTGATTAGGGCTACTACTAAGAAGTACAGTTTGAGTTTGAAGTAACATTTGGATCTATGATCCCTTTTAAGAAGAAGTTATAGTAGTAGTCCCTAATCATTCAGAGATATCTTATTCAGGGGTAGTTGGTAGACTGAGTCCCGATTACTCGTGACGACTTACTACTCGGAGGGCTTGGAATCCCTTTTTGGGGGTGTGCACACTTAAGGTAGTCGTTTCGTTTCCGCAAGAGCAGTTGTGGTACCGGCACTTGTTCGGGGTGGCCGTCCGTAACCACGGTCCACCGGGCTTAGTCGAAAGGTTGAGCACCGCCCTTCTAAATTACTAGGAAGTTAGAGAAGAAGTGATTTTTGAGATAATAAAAAAGGAAGAGAATTTTTATGGAGTGAGTTCTTTTTATATAGTATTACATGAAAAATTATTTTTGCCAAACCTGATTATTTTACGGGGTTGGGTAGTACTTACTTAGCTCTAAAGCTAATTTTTGTTTTCTTCTCTTTGTTTGTTTTCTGCACTTTATTTGTGCAGGTGATGATGCTTGAGTTGACTGATGATTGCCTGATCTTGAGAGCGGTTTAGAGATGCCTTAGTCGAACATAGTCAAGAATAAACATTTTAATTTACTTATGTTTTGAACACTAGTTTTAGTTTGTTTTGTCTGGGGTTAGCCTGTGCATTCGGTTAAGAGATGACCGGATGTGGCGGTAACACCCATTTCCCATTTAATATTATTTCCGCTGCAAAACTTTTTATCTGTTTTGAAAGAATAAATCAAGTTTATTATCAATAAATCTATTATTTCAAGTACTATTTTGGGAGGGAAAATGGGGGTGTTACACACACTCCGGTCCAACCCCGGCATATCCTCAGGGCCCCATGCGAAGATCACACTGAACGTGACCAACACTTGGATGATCTTCTCTCTCAGCCCGGCCGGGAGCCCCAGCCCGATTTTGATCTTTCGCTCCGGGTGCCTGGGGTCGATATGAACTTCTTTAACCTCGGAGGTGGGCTCAGCGCGGAGCTGGCCATCCTCATACTTCATGGCTTTGCTGTTGATAGTGTGGACCCTGAGGTCCCTTTGTCCGAGTTGTTTGCACGCCTTCATGTAACAACTTCGGGCCATCCTTTGATCTCCTCGAGCTATCCCGACCCCGTTCGGGGTGGGGAACTTCATACATAAATGCTCCTGAGAGATAATGCATCTCAAGTCCTCCAGCACGGGTCTTCCCATGATGATTTTGTGTGGACAGGTTAAACGTACGACAATGAACTCGATGTTCAACTTTGCTACACAGGGTTCCGAACCCACCATCACGGGCAATACCACACTGCCTTCCGATTCGATTGAGTCCCCGGTAAATCCGGATAAAGGTGTTCTTACCGGACTCAGATCCGCCCCACTCAGACCAAGGCCTTGGAATGTGTCGTAATACATTACGTTCACCAAGCTTCCATTGTCTACTAGAACTCGATGAATGAGTGTATTGTTGATCTCCACTTTAATCATTAAGGCGTCCCTATGCGGTGGTAGCATGGGTGGTAAGTCATCATCGGTGAAGTAGATACGATCTCTTCTCATCTTCTTTTCTGCAGGTACCCGGGTAATTTCCCCGACGTACAATGATCGAGCCCATCGCTTCCTTTTGCCTGACGTGTCCCCTCCTTGGGGGCCGCCCACGATGTAGGAGCATCTGTGATGCTTCCGGGCTCCCTCTCCTAGGTCACACTCGTCATCCTTGGACAGAGCTCCGAGCTCGCGCTTCTTTGATGGTTGGTCAAGGGGCTGTTTCTCCTTGGACGTGGTGGCTTGATCGGAATGCCTCCATGTCAGGTTCCTCCCTTTCTAGGCATTTCTCGGTTTTCCTACAAATTGGCCCAAATATCCTTGTTTGATAAGTGCTTTGATTTGTCTACGGAGAACGATGCATTCGTCCGTATCATGCCTGAAATTCTGGTGAAACTTGCAGTACTGGTCAATATTGCGTTTGGCAGTGACTACGTCACATTCCTCTGGAAAGGAAACCAAGCCCTGCTCCTCGGCATAGTCAAGGACCGTCCCGGCCGGTTGAGCCAAAGGTGTCAGATGTTTGGTAGGTAGGAGCGGACCGTTAGGGACGCCCGTCCTTCCCTTATT